ATTCTACAGTGTCTTGATTGATTTAATGTTTTATTGTTAAAAGTATGTTCACTTAAATATACGCCTTGTATCAGGGTGTAGATATGAAGACAGTTATACATTTGAAATGTGTTGTAAGAAGACCAAAGCTTTGCCCATCTTTTATTAGACCAAGTAGAACAGTTGACTAGGGAATGAGCTTAGGGTTTAAGAGAGTTTCATTGTGTTTTGGCTATTACTTTAACAGGTTAATGGTTGTCAGCATAAAGGCAAAATTTAGATAGCTGTCTTAGGAAATAGTGGTTGAACGATGAATCAATGCAAGTACAGGCACATATCATGATTGAAGGTTGTAATTTTGTACTACCATCCTTCTGCTATTGAAGCTGGTTTAGCCTCCCATCCTGGAGCAGTTCTTTGTGTGCTGCAATGAGCTACAGCTTCAGTTGTATGGATTCAGGCCAGTTGTACAGAGTTGTCACACGGAGCACTGCAGCCATCTGAATTGCGCTTCTTTGTGTGTTTGTTAAACGTGGAAGAGGTTGGAAAATACTTTTTTTTCTGAAAACGTCTGTTGTGGTTTTTTTTAATATCATTATTTATAAAATTAAATATAAAATTGTAAGAATACATGTTAAATACTTGAAGTTAACTTATTTTTCAAAATAATAATAATTGATGTATTTGGGGCCAAGGTTTATAATGAAATCACAAAACAGTTAAAAATTGCTCAAAAAAGACACCTGCTGCCGGAGTTGGATGTGTTAAAACACCAAATTTTTTCACATCCTTCTTGAAAAATGCAGATATTTCTTCTGTTGAATAAATGCTAAATTAAAAAACAACAACTAAATTTACATTAGTAATGGGGTTTTTTTCCTATCCTCCAGTAAGTACAAGGAAGGGCTGGTATAATAAAAGATCATTCTTAATATTTTCTAGTACTTTCTATCTGCAGATGTATCTGCATTTGTTTAATCAGCAGGATATGCATTTTGCAATCAAAATATGCTCTTCTGGTGCAATACCTGGATGCTGGCATGCTCAAAGTACTGCTAATAAGTGAAAAATTAGTACTGATCTTGCATGTTAATTACATCCCAGTATCGGTGCAAATACCATGTGATATTTATTAGACATCTAGTAACCATTTTGATATTTCCTTAAAATAAAGGATTTGTATTTTTTAGTTCTCTTAATGCAAAAATGATTTTGCTGTTTGCAACAGTTAGATGTTGCATTTAACTATACTGTTAAGATGCAGTTTCATGTTTAAAAATAATAAGTCTGTACTGCTGCTGGAGAGGAATGAACACACTCATGTTTTCCTCCATCCCACACTAACACCTGTGCTTCTTCCTGCACAGCTGAATTTGGCTGAAAAGGTTTCTCAGCCTTCAGTTGTGAATGACCTTCCCACACTGGGGAAGCAGCAGGAACACATGGTTAACAAGGACGAAAAGAACCAAACTGCTCCTTTAAGCACAGGCAGCTTATAAACCAGTACCCTGAGCAGTGCTTTTGCAGCCAATACAAGCCAGCATGATGGCTTGCTGCTGCTGTTCTTGGTCCCATCTCCTCTTTCTTTGCAGTGGATTTTGGCACTCTATGCTGAGCTAGATTAGTTAACCAGCTGAAAGAGTGCTGGCAGGTTGGAGAATTGATTCATCTCATGGAAATACTCTTAGGCACTGGGGCTGGTGCAAGATAAACAGGTCATGCCCATGAGCAGGTGGGGCTCCTGAACCAAGGGCAATGGGAACCTCTTTTTCCACCAAAGTGGTAAGGAGTTGTTTGCATCAGCTTATTCCATCTTGTAGAATCACTCCCTTAGTCTCAACTTTTTAATTAAAATGCTTTTATAGAAGAGTATGGTGAAAATTTCAGGAACCTTAACTGCCTTTCAGAGGTGTTATGGTATCTTGTTTCTTGCTGGCATTTTGAAGCTGAGGCTTAGCTGGAATTCTACAGGAGTCTTAATGAGTAAACAGGCTTTACAGACAGCTAAATGAGAACCTGTAGTGCTCAAAATCCTCCCTGTTAGTAGTTAGAACCTCAAATTGCCAGTGTTCTCAAAGTATATACTTTGATTTTTCAGTACAATTTTTTCTAAATACATATGACCTACCATCAAATTCTTAGGACAAGGATTAGTTTGTGGTGTTGTTTTTTTTTTTTTTAGCTACCGTAGGTATATTTAAATATGTCTTGATTAGTTTTGCCCTGTGTCCAGTCACAAATGCTGACTTCACCTGTGTGGCTATTTGTTTGCTCATATGTGGAAAGCAATGCTGTATTGCAGAAATGTGGAAAGCAATGCTGGAGCCTGCAGCCAGCTCATTTTTTTTCATAAGCATTCTTAAGCATTATTCTTGAAATTTTAAAATATAAACTGTAGTGGGATAAATGTAAGTAAAAAGTATAACAGCTGAACTTACTTCTTGAGATGGGGGGAAAGTTGTGTTTGGCATTTTTTTTTTCCTGAAAAATAAGTTCCCAGTGTATAGAAGGGGGGTGTTCTTGGGAAGGTTATATTACAGGAGTAATTTAACTTTTATATTAAGTTTTCTCTGTTTCTCTATAACAACTTTTACTGGTAATCTTGTCTTTTATTTTTTAGTGTGGTCCTGACGAACTTCTTCTGGTGTCAGTAACAGACCATTTACCATGAGCAATTCTACTCCAGCTACAGGTATACGTAAAAAAAATATTACAGTTCTTCAACAGTGTGTGTTTCCTCTGCTTTTTTTTTTTTTTTTTTTGGTATTCTTTATTGTCACCATAAGCATCCTTACCAAGACTGAACTGTAATATGACTCCCAACAGTACTGGCATGTGAGCCTACCCAATTCCATGACAGTATTGAAGAGCTCCAGAAATGATCAGTTGAAATGGACAAAAAAAAAATAAAATCTGTTATCTATAATCACGATCAATCAAATACCTTATATTCAGACTGTCAAATGCCTGTTCAATTTTCCTGTAGTTGAATGCTTGAAAGGAATTTGTTTTGAAGTATTTCAATGCTGTCAGAATTACAAAGACACCCATCTGAGTTTGGGGAAAGATAAGGCACATTATGTGGATTCATGATAAAAAATTCAGCTGATTCCCCTTGGTGTTCTTGTTCTTGCTTTCTACACTACCTCTAGAACTTTTTGAGGAGCAGCACAGACAGTCCTGTGATTTGGTTTCAGACGTTTTCTGCCAGTTCTTGTCCCCAGGCAATCTCTCCATGGGTTGAGATGAATGGTAATGTTTTTGCAAGGAAAGCAATAAAAAAAATACTACGTTTTTTTCTCCTGATCAGATGTTTTCTGGATTTGGCACAGATTACTGTTCAGATATGTAGTGCAAAACCAGCAGAATGGGGTTTTGTTGGGAAAGTGGTGGGAAGTTGGATAGGCAGATGCAGGGTAAGGAAACTGGGTTCATTAAAGCTATGTGATGGCTCACTGTGAAACCACAGCCACATATTTCTTCAGACATGTTAAACTATACTACTGTGTGAAGAAACTTATGCTCTGCCCTCTTCATGTGTTGAGAAAGATGCAGCAAATGTATATGTCTACCTATAGTTTTAGATCAGACAAGAAACTGAGAGAAAGCTAGGAACTGCTTCCTTTAGTGGTACTTCCAGCATAGGTGGTCTTGAAGAATTAATGCCCAATGGCTGCATAAGTTAACTTTAAGTCAAGTAACTTAGTAAAGTCAAGGATATCTTGTCCATTTTGAACCTGAAAAGTAAAACATAGAATGGGTTGTTAGGCTTTAATAGTAATATATCCTGTCATGGCTTGGTACTGGTAAGTGTTTAATATGTTCATGTTTGTTTTAGTCTCATCCCCAACAAGTGTACCAGATATTCACAATTTTCAGAATGCATATAGAGCACATGAAGCCATATAAAATTTCTTGATAGAAAAATCAGTGCATAATCAACTTTTCTGTTTTGCAGGTGGGGGAATTGTTAACTTGGCTTGTGAGTGTGCCATGGTTGGGGCTTAGATCATCTAACTTGGAGTTTTAGAGTCTTCCACTAATAAAAGAGCCCTCTGTAATACAGAATGACTTGTTTAAACCACTTTTGAACCTTAGGCTGTACTCAAAATGGACAGCAAAATCTGAAGTTTCTTGTAAAGCTCATACAAATAATTCTTCCTCATCTTTTGTTGTTCTCATTGGAAGGCTAAATGCAAGACATTAGGTGTTAAGACTGTCTCTCTTGCCTTCATTACAACTGCTTCTAGAACAATATGCCTGTTCCAGATGTGATGTTCTGTGTAAAAGTGCTCTCAAGAACTCTGAGTCATCTCCTTGAAATGTAATCAATCATTGGTCACTTAGCTGTTACAGGATCCGAATAGGCACATGTTTAAAAAAAAAAAAAAAAGGCAGTTTGCCAAAGTAGAAAACTTTAGAGTTTGTATGGAATTCATGCTGTGCATCCTTTCCAAAGACTTTTCAAAACTTAAAATCATATAGAACAGCATATTTTCTTTAATAAAATAGATAAATAAAGACCCTTTGAGTTTACACCTCAACCACAGGAAAAAAATTGATTAAAAAAATTTAATATATTACATCTCAGTTTTGACTTACCCCTCTACTGTGCAACTAACATTTTGTAAATACCTTATGTGGGCATTTGGAAAGAAGTTATTGGCCTCTGTGTCTGTAAGAATTTAAAAAAACCTCAAAACACAAAGCTAAACCACAAGAAAATAAACAAGCCCAAACCAAAACCAAACAAACACAACACACCTTCCCATTATAGTTGATATTTGGAATAGGTGATGAGGTCTTCTTACACTGTACTGTGGTTATATATGAACTGTCTTTTCTTAAGATTCAAAGAGCTATACCTAAGTCAATGTTAGTGCTGAAAAAGCAGTTTGGGTTTTTTTTAGGTTTTGGTATCTACACTGTGCAATAAGTTTATCTTGTTTGCTTGTCTGTCTCCTTCCCTAAAATATTTTAGACAATGAGAAGAAAAAAATCAAAGGAGGCAAATCGCAATGTTTGCCTTCACGTGTCCTTCATATTCGTCAAATTCCGGGTGATGTTACTGGAGCAGAAGTCATTGCATTAGGTCTCCCTTTTGGCAAAGTAACCAATTTCTTGATGCTAAAAGGAAAAGGTCAGGTATGTAATTTTCAGTGTTTCAATTACAAAGGCAAGGCTGAAGATGTGGTTCATGTTTAGGTCTTGCATTTGACTGAAATGATTGCAACAATGTCTAAATATTTCATTGATAGTTCAAGATTTTCATATTTTCAAATGTGAAAGAATGTTATGAAATTTATTTTAAATTCTTAATACTTTGAATTAAATAATGATCTAGAAACTTGTTAATAATATTGCTAAAGATTATATCCACTTTAGGTAAGAACATATGGATGATAAAGAACTATATTGTCTCTATTGATGTAGACGTATGTCTTGAAATAGCCTCCCTAAGTTACTAACGTACCTGTTAATTTTTTACCATCTTTTTAATTCTATTAGATGTGACAGAATAGTTCACACCATGAATAAACACTGAAATCATAAAAATAATAGGCATTCATTCAAAAAATTGTCTAGAGCTGATCTGGGTTCATATGATGTATAAACTGATAGATGTTTAGTGTCCTGTTCCTACTTTTTCAATCAGTATGTGTATCTGCTAGCTAGGTAATAATGCTTGGATTCAGAAATCTAAGAAATTCATTAGCAGTGTGGTATTTTTAGTGGTGTTGCTTCCCATATGTCATACTTATTCCACCTCTTCTTTAATGACTTAATGTACTTACAAAGTAAAGCTTCATGAGAAAACTCACAAAACCCCATAAACATGCACACACAAGTGCATTTTAATGCTGAGCAAACCAGTCCTTTACTTTCACATCATCTTTTTCTAGTGAGAGTGGAATTGGGAAAAAATGATGTTTTGATGCTTTATTCTCTCCTGTAAACAAAAACAGCACTGAAGTGGGCTATGTATTGGTTACAGGCATTTTTGGAAATGGCTTCTACAGAAGCTGCTGTTTCTATGGTGAACTACTATACTCCTGCTACACCTCACCTCCACAATCGGCCAGTTTATATTCAGTATTCCAATTACAAAGAACTTAAGACTGAAAATCTACATAATCAGGCTGTAAGTATAATATTTCCATTTAACGGGATGGTGTATTGGTTTTGTCTAGGACAGAGTTAATTTTCCTTGTAGCAGCTTGTGACAGAAAATATCAAGAACTTTTTGGCTTCTCACATTGCCAGTGTGAGTGCATAAGAAGCTGGGAGAGGACCCAGCTGAGACTGACCCAGATCCCAGCTGACCCAAGGGATATCCCACACCATATGATGTTGTGCTCAGCATTGAAAGCTGGGGGAAAGATGAGGAAGGGAGGATGCTCCGAGTTGTGGCCTTTTTCTTTCTGAGTAATTGTTACGTTCAGTGGAGCCGTATTTTCCTGAAAATGTCTGAACACCTTTCTGCCAATGGGAAATAGTAAAGGAGTTCCTTATTTTGCTTTGCTTACACCTGCAACTCTTGCTTTGCCTGTTCAACTGTCTGTAACCCATTCCATCGGTTTTCTCCCTTTCACTCTTCCAATTCTCTTCCCCATTCTGCTGGGGGAAAGTGGCTGAGCAGCTGTGGTGCTTCACTGCCTACTAGGATTGAACCACAACATTAGTGAATAGACTACTTTTCACATCAGTAGTCAAGTTCTGATATATATAATGCCTGTCTTTTTATTTAAGCAGTAACTTCTTTCAGACAGAGACTTCTCAATATCTGTAAAATTACTGTGGAGGAGCTCAAGCTCAAGCTCAAAGCTTGCTCCTGATGAGCAAGAAGCAAAGTGAGGGTGGCAGAAAGGTGGATGAACAAGATGCTCCTCATTGAACTTAAACATGAAAGAGAGGTATAGAAAAGTTAGAATCATGGACAGGTGCCCCAGGAGAATTATAGAGCATTATCTGAGCATGCAGGGTTGTGGTTAGGAAACTCAAAGATCACATGGAGTTGTCTCTGGTGAGTGGTGTGAAAAGCAGCAAGTATGGCTCCTCAAAGTGTTTCAGCAGTAGAAATAAGATTTTTTTTTTTTTTTTGAATATGTGAGCCTACTGCTGAATGGGGGTAGGGACTCTGGTGACAAAGGACATGGAAAAGTCTGAAGTTCTGGATGCCATCTCTTCAGCATTTAGTGCTTAAGACTTGCCACTGAGTACCAAGCAACTGAGAACAGTAGGAAAGTCTTGATGAAAGAAATAGAGAAGAATCTCACTAGGGAACATTTAAATGAATTGGATAAGCAAAAAGTCTTTGATCCTAATGAGATACAGTTGTGAGTGCTGAGGGAGCTTGTCAGTGTCATTGCAATGCCACTCTTACAGTCTTGTAATGTCATGGAAGTTGAAAGAGGTTCCAGAGGACTAGGAAAAAAGAAAATATCTCTCCTATCTTAATGAAGGACAACAAGGAAGAACCAGGGAACCGCTGGTTGATCAGCCTTGCTTCAGTCCTTAGGAAGGGAATGAAGCAACTCATCCTGGAAACCATGTCCAAATGTTCTAAGGAGAAGAAAGGGGTTAGGAAAAGTCAGCATGGGTTTTTCAAAAGGATGTAAAGCCTGACGAATGTGATGGTCTTCTGTGGTGAGATGACAGGTTTGGTGGATGAGAGGAGAGCAGTGGATATTGTTTATCTTGACTTTGGCAAGAATTTCAGTGTTGTTTCCAGTAACATCCCAATAGATAAACTGATTAAATGCAGTCTTGTTAAGTAGATTGTGAGGTGATTCAAAAGGCTAAAATGGTTCTGAAGTAGCAGGAAGTTTAGCTGAGGTTGAGTCACTAGTAGAGTACCCTAGGGGTTGATACTTTGTCCAGTACTGTTTAGCATCTTAATTAATCCCTTGAATGATGGGATGGGGAACATGCTAAGCAAGTTTGCTGACAACACAGACCTAGGAGGAGTAGTTGACACACGGAATGGTTGTGCTGTCATTCAGAGGGATCTTGGAAAGCTGGAGAAATGAACTGGCAGGAGGAACCTCATTAAGTTCAAGAAAGGGAAATGCCAACTCCTGCACCTGAAGAGTAACCTCAGGTACCACTTTACACTGGTGGCTAACCAGCTGGAAAGAAGCCTGGTACACGTGCCAAGCACCAGAATTAATTTCTTCCTTGTAATTCTGAAATTCTAAAAATTGATTTCTTAAGAATATGAATTGAAAAATGCAGATGAGTGATTTATATCCTAATCTCTAAGCAAGGAAATACTCTTTGCACAGTAAGATCAGACCACACAAACCATCATATTATGGTTGAAATCTGTTTGGATTTTTGGATTCCTGGATGATTTTCAATTGACCTCCCATTTAGTTACCTGAGTTATATACTGCAATGTGTATATCGTGATTTTGTTTTCTGTAAGAATGTTGCAAGTAGGGATAGGGGCATAAATCATTAATCATTTTTAATTTGTGCTCACACAAAAGACACTGAAGTCTTGTAAGCTTGTCAGTCTGGTAAATGTTATTTGGCTGTTTCCTCATCCAAGATTGTTGGATTGATTTTTTTTAATCTGCGAAAACAAATAAACAGCAAACTTTTTTTTTTGAGGCTGTGGTTTGTGTAACAGCCAAATATAACCATACATATATTTGCAAATAAGACTCCTTGAATCTCTTTCTGATTATTTAACTTGGTGCATAGCACTTGCTTTCTTCTTGAAAAATATTGTCTGCTTCTAAAAATTGGAGGGGGGGCACTTATATTTGAGTCTCATACCTTAGCAGAGCAGCTATGTTACTATCCTAGTATCTAGGCTCAGGCCTGAAGTACAGATTATTTTGCAGGGTTATGTTTTTTCTGAAACTGGGGAACGTCTGTATGACGTGCCCTGTTTAGACTGTCTTCCAAGACAACAGTGTAGCTGAGACGATTTCAAGTCACAACATTATATTTGGAAAGAAACCTGTCTCCATAGTTCTGCTACTCAGAGGAGGTTTGAAGGCCATAAAAAACAAGTGTAGAGGCAAAACTCCAGTTGGAGGAGTGGTTGATAACTTGACTCTGAAAGAAGAGCAGGGTATGCACCTTTAAGCTTATCCCCACCAAATCTCAGTTCCTGAAGAGAATTAAATCCTCAAAAAGAAGAGCAAATAGTTTTATGGGCACTGACTGGTTGTTAGTCTATTACAAATATTGTGATCAATACTGTCATCAACAGTATTGCTGGAAAAATCTATAAATGTCAAAACCTTACTGAATTAAAGCAAAATTGTGGTTATATGACATTACAAAGTAGTAACAATTTAACTAAAAAAATAGTTGTAATTTTGTGAATTACACTGATCAGTTGTAAGGGAGGGGCATGGAAAGGAAGAGGTATGATTTACCTTTATTAATGTGGGATCTAATCAACAATCATATGAAGGAACTACCTTTTTTTGTAGTTGCATTTTATGTGCTTTTCTTCTAAGAGACCTTTGTTTCAGTATGATAATTTGCATGTAAATTAATTATGCTTTCTGCTGTGTTGTAATTTCAGAGACCCCAGGCTGCATTGCAAGGTGTGAATGCTGTGCAGCATGGAAGCCTGGCTATTGCAAGTGCTCTTGATTGTGAAGGTGGACACCTTCCAAGTCAAGGTTCTGTTCTTCGAATCGTTGTTGAAAATGTTTTTTACCCTATCACTTTAGAAATGCTGTATCAGGTAATGAGGATTGCTTAAAAAAAAGATAAATTACAGTCTGTTCCAATGTTGCTATTGTAAATCCACGAACTTATTTTAAGTACCTGTGGATCCTTAATCTTTTGAGTGAGGACTGCCTCTTTAAAATTATTTCTTGCAGTTTAGAGATCTAGGTTTGAAATAATTCTGCACAAATGAAATTCCAGTAAACAAGGCTTCTGTACCCTGCTTTTCACGTTGTCATTTTTACCTCATTTCCTTTCTGTGGAAGCAGCAATGAACTTGAACTGTTACTTCTGATTTATGCCCCCATGATGAACTAGTGAAATACTGATTGTTATGAACTTGTGGATCCATATTTTAGCGCTCTTTGTGCTGAGTAACATCAGTAGTTTACATTATGTTTTAGGGGCTTATATGCACTTTTATAATTCAA